CCCGATCACGCTTGTACATCGGACCAAACTTGTTGCGCCCGCCGCGCATACGATCCGCACGAACAGCTGCAACAAAGAAAACAATTTATTGACCCAAAAGTACAGAAATTTCATTAAAGGTGTTTAACAATATTTATTTTAAAAATACATGTCAAGCTAGGAATAGCAGACTTGGTCTCGAGCAATAGTTCAGGGTGATTCTTGATTCATCTCAAATTAAGTTAACTATCGACAGCCTTTCAAAATACTCTTCATTACAAAATCAGCAAAAATAAACAAAACGAAAAAAACGCATTCCCGAGGAGACGACATATTTCAGTTTTATTACGTTTAAGCACCCTTTGTAATCCTATATATGCGATTTTTAATTCTCCGTCAAAGTAGATAATAAAAAAAATGTTCTTTGGATCTGATTTTCCTAAACTAGTCAATATTATTTAATATGAAAATTATGAAAACGAAACAAAGGCGCTTATAATGGACTCGTGATAGAGCGGATAAATATAGCTCACCTGAATTTTCAACAGGTAAAATGTTGGGAATACATCGTATTGATTGACATCATGACCTATATTGCCGGATGCAGAAATAACTGACGCGCAAAATACTCCCGCGGTCTATGTTTATTTTTGTGGTTCGGTCCGAAATCACGGTAGGCAACCCAGTAAACTTTAGTATTATAAAAAAAAGTAATCCGTACTTGTATTATGGTTGCAGAACAAAAGAGACTAGCCATAACAATTCTGTCATAATGCTCCCATACTAATTAATATTTTACTAAACTAATTTGTTGTTTCTGCGCTATTATTACTCAATTACGCCAGATATAAAATAACTGGGGGCTTGTCTACTTGGTAGCAGCAAATCGCTACAACAAGGTCGTATGTTATGAAATGTAAATACGACCGCTCAACTAATATAAACGCGCATGTGCATAGGATACTTTAAAGACGAACTATACGCAATACAATAACAAACTGTTGTACATTGTACAACAATATTGTCCTCCCTTTTATTCCCATTGTTAAAATAGAGATAGCAATAATGTCAACATACATGTGACGACCATTTAAATCCAGTGTTACCTTTTTTATGACAAAATTCTAAATGTATTTATGCTAATAATTTCATTGAGAATTTTGATGAGAAGGACAAGGATAAAGATTTGTTTGTTTATAGTGTAGACTTAATATCTTGCTATTTTTATCGGAAAATCATCGTTTACAAGCATCAAAATGATTTCCACCGTCTTGGTTAAATGGCTAGCTTTGTGATCACATAAAATCATTATAAAAACATGATTATAATCGCGTTCTAAACATTATAAATGCACACGTGTGTACAGGTTACCATTCAGTACGAAACATTTCAATAGAGATTGTATAATGCAAGCGAAATTTAGGACACCGGCCCCATAATACGCGAAATGTTCTTTATTATAGCTGGCTGAATTCCAAATATCAGGCCACAAGTTCTTAGCGATTTATGAACGTTCCGATTCCGTGGATAGCTGAGTATGTAACGCTACTCACAATCTGGCTACAGCTAAATGAGCCCGAAAATAATTCATCCAGTTTATAACATCCTAAATGCAAGTGATTTAATTTAAAAAGTGAAGTTTTAGAAGCTAAGAATACTAGAATTTAGATTGACACGAGTATTTTATACCACGGATATTTTCTGATCGGATTTTCATGAAAGTTGCAATAGATTACAATATGAAATAGTGATTTCGATGCGGATGAAGTCACTGCCTGCACTAGTGCATAAGTTATTATATTGCAGACTCCCAGAAATTGTTTATGTATTTTCAAATAAAACCAAGTTTAGTTAAAATGTTTTAAGATTTTGTAAAGTCATTTTAAAGTGAATTGTTTAAAATAAAAATAAACTATCTTACTGGATGAATTTACATAAATTTACAAGCTGCCAGTGTAAACAGATACTTATCATAACAAACTTCAATAAACTTTGATTATTGAAATAATTAGCTTCCAATAAACTATGCAGCCTAAAGTTTAGTCTAGGGTTTGCCGGCTGGATTCATTCCCAGTCAATTTATGCATTTTCTTAAAATCATAAACGTATTTCTGTTTTGCTTTTTTATTGCTATGCTATAACAACTTTTAACGTGAAAGGTGGAGCTACTTGCATTAGTTTTATATTATTTAGAGTCGAGAAATAAGTTTGGTTGACAACGTGACAAAAGTTTTCGACATAATTAAAACCAAAAAACCACGAATCAAAAGCAACATTAATTGCCGTTCTTTGTGTGACTGCATTATTGATTTATACCCGAGTGGCTCATGATATCGAATTGGTTTAAAATTTTATAACTTTGAGAAAATAACTCTGCAATGGCTTTATATTGTTCCTCCATTATGTTATTTATTATTTAAATTTTAAGATATGCCTTCCGTCACCATAATAGTTTTTTAGATATTCAACTTTGTTCTAAGACTGTCGCCCGCAAACTTCGTTAGCAAGGAATTAAAAAAAAGGTCGCCTATTCCCGTCAAAGTCGGCTCAGCCGTTTCAGAGATTATCTGGAACAAATATTGTTTGCTGATGGACAAACATTTTTTAAATGCGATTTTCGTTATCAACAACGCGAATACATCTTCGCGAAATCTTGATTTTTATTTCAAGGTTACATATAAACCCAATTTTATGAACTGTATAAATATATAACACGCAATGATGATTTACATTTCAGCTTTTTAGATTTTAATATAGAAAACCTTTTCCTTTTATAATAATAATTGAGTTCTTCCGCAGTTGGTTCGTTTAGTCGTACCGTGCACGGTCTGGTAATTAGCTTTTTGATAATTTTACGTGCGTTGTAAACGTTCACTCTTTTGTGTCGATTCGGTACTGTTTTACATTTTTGCTGTTTCATATTTTATTGTTCTTTACCAATAAATTATCGACAGCGGTACGATAATAAGCTGTTTTTTTAGTCAGCAGTAATTACATAATGTTTTGGCCTTAAGCTGGATTTACTTTGAAATGAAATGTTTCATTTTGAAAAACTATACAGTTACAGAACGTAAGTTTGGTATCAGATAGACGGCTGAGTCAGTAAGTCGAACAAGGTTATCTTGCTTAAACATTTTTTTAATTATTTACTTTGGTATAAACACTCTTTGGTGCCAATGATAGAATGTATCTCCTATTTCTAGCATCGCGTATTAAGCAAAAATAACATAGAGATGGTACGTTAGTGAAATCAAATAGGTATCAGTCAATATTAAAGGTATAATTCAATGAAATAAGACAATGATTCACATCTGAAATATAGTAAGTTTATGATTATATGTTGTTTTTAATACATAATTAAATTTACATTTCATAAGTATAAAATAAACATAAATGGCTATTTACAAATAGAATTAACTTTATTGACTAATGTGAAATAAAATTTGTGACTAAATTATTATGAAATTGGCTGATTTAGGTCAAGGAATAATAGCCGGAAAGTTGTGCAGCCGAGATAAAAACGATAAGTGGGCGACTGGTTATATTAGGTGTTTAGCTTATCTTGCGGACGTCTAGGGGCGTCTTAACTTATCGAGACGGCATAAAGCTGTAAATAAATAACGCTTAAACCTGGAACGGAAGGGGGCTTTCACAGTGCGCTGCCGGCTCGGCCTACCCACGAGTTAAAAATAACAACCAGTTTTTATTGTAGCAAGCGCGCCTCAGTGCGACAAGGACGCCAAATAGGGCTCGCCAGAGGACGAAAGAGGAACGAATAGTGTAACGGATTTGAAGCATTGCTGTGTGCAATTCCACCAGCTTCGTATTGCAGCTTCGAAAGAATTCGTGCAAACGGCGACGTATAAATATACCAGAATCATATTAGTCGGACTTCCACTTAAGCGTTGAGTTGACATCTTGTCTCAGAATATGAACTGAGATATCAATAATTTGTTCCCCTTAATATATTATTGTAAAACGTCTGAGCTAAAATATTAATCAAATTCACTAAATACGAGCTGATACTACAGAATTATTGGTCTTATTAGAAGATCTATGAAAAAGCTAAAAAAATCTATATATTGTTAGTACGGTTAACTGTGAAGTGAGTAACTGTTACCAAAACAGGTCTCCAGGGTCGTCCCTTGACACAATTGAATGAACAGGTTTTAAAAACATATCGACTGACGAGCATATTATGTTACAGCAACCGCGTTTAGAAAAAATCATCTACATACATTCTAATTTGAAAAAGGACAAGAAATGGGTCAGTTTGTTTAGATTGTGCGTCTAGTGTATATAATATATTTATAGAATGAATGGAGACTTGAAGGATTGGCACCATCGTACGTTGACACAATTAACTCGCAGAGATCTGGCGTAGCTGTCGATTGGTTACATTATTCTATTAGGTAACTAGTCCGTGGCAAGCGTCGCGGTCACAATGGCCGCCGTGCCATACTGGAATGTTCCCCGTGACGTTCAGGGTCGTTTATTGGATCTCGATTATGATTCAGCATCGACAACCTTTTAAGTTTAGCATAAGATTTTCACTTTATGTAAAATGGTAACTGAGCTGGTGCTTCTTGTAATGGAGTACTTTTCACCGGCTGTCGCTAATGACAATCGGTTCAAGCCGGATACAATGACTAACACGAGTATAATTTATTTCATGACTAAGGTTTCGTACTACGTTTGGTATTGCCGCTTCATAATATGCAAGCTCCCTACTTTTTGTTAGTGTAGAACTTAATTAGCCATGTATATTATAATTTCGAGATAGTATCACGTCAGTGTTGCTTCACGTAGCGTGAGAAACATGTAATTAATATACGAAGTAGGTGAATTGTTATGAGCGATCGTAACATTTTATTTCTAATCGAGGGGTAGAATCCAAATATGAATCGAGAACACTTGGAATGGTTTTAATCATCTAATGTTATTATAATGAGCACGCGATAGCAACCGATAATGCGGTAAACGAGGTCAGGCGTTTATTACACGACTAAACTAGATCAAGGTCAAGGTCATTTTTACAAATCAAAAAACACGTCTTGGCGACAAATAACCACCGAGCAGAAATAGAT